CTTCCAATCGTCCGGTACCTTCTCTTCCTTCCACACCTTCTGCAATAGTGGTGTGAGCATTCCGCTGTTGTCTCTGCGTCTGTTCTCAGTGCTTCTGGCGGGACCCCGTCTGGTCCTGCTGCTTTCCTGCATTTCAGTAGCTTTATGGCGTTCAGGACTTCCATTTTTGTTGGAGGATTTATGTGCACTTGTAGTTCAGCGGTTGGGCTGCAGGTGGTATTTCTGGACGAAGTGCAGGTGGTGGTGGTGGTGGTCGATTCAAGAGCTTCTTGAAGTAATCGGCCCATTGTTTCCTTTGTTTCTCTTCTTTCCTAATTAAATTTCCTTCTTCATCTTTTATTGGTTTCGTCTGCGTTGATCTCTCCCATCCCAGATGGCAACCTGGTTATTTGATACAATGTTGTAAGGTCTCTGTCTCTCCTACCAGCAGCCTGTTCTACTTCACTTGCCAGTGTTTCGTAGAAGTGTCTTTTGTCTTTCCGTGCATTCTTCTTCACTTCTTTGTCCAGTGTTTTATACATTGTGCTCAGTTCCTCTTGTCGTTGAGCACCCTTGCACTGGTTTATCTTCTGCTTCACCATCCTCCTCTCCCTCCTCTATCAGCTTCCATGTATCCGTCGAGATCCATTCCTTGTCTTCTTTCTTCTTCCTTCCTAATACTGTTGTGCAGGTTTCTTTCCACATAGCTTTCAAAGACTCCCAGTGTTCATTCAAACGGGTTTCTTCAGGGATGTTGCTCGATATCTCCCATTTTGTCTTGATGGCTGACTGAAGTGAAGATTTCCTTTGTAGTTTCATTCTTCAGTTTCCGAGTGTTGTGCTTGAACTGCGGTCTATCACCAGCTTTCTTGAAGGCTTTCAACTTGATTTGGGAGGTTCCTTGCACTAGACAGTGAGTGGTCTGAACCTACATCTGCTCCTCTTCTTGACCTTGTATCAAGTAGACTGCGTCTCCATTTTCTTCACAGAGATAAAGTCGATCTGACTTTTAGTGTTTCCTGGTGTCTGATGAAATCCATGTGGCTTTGTGGATATCCTTGTGCTTGAACACAGTGCCTCACTCCAACCACCAAATCGATGAATGCACATAATTCTGCAAACGGTTCTACATTCTCGTTCATCACCTCACCTAGCGCTTCTCGACCCATGGTTAGTTCTCTTCCTGTGTTTTCCGCTCCCCACGGTTTGACATTCATGTCACCCCACCCATTAGAATTTTGATGTCGCCAACTGCGATGAGGTCTTGTCCAGTGTTGATTGAAGTTGTCTGAAGAATTCCTCCTTTTTCTCTTGCTGCGCATTATTTGTAGGTGCATAGCATTGTATGATTGTGACCTTCCTTCCTTTTGAGTTGAATCTTGCTGTCATGATCCTGGAGGAGATTGGTTCCCACTGCATGAGAGAGAGAGAGCCTTCGATGCTGTTAGGGACATCATGATAGCCACTTGAAAACTCAGTGTGCTCGTGGTTGTCGTCTGGGTGACAATATCGGAGTAGATTATTGATTCTCCAGTTGACAGTTTGGAGAGTCCACTCCCATTCCATCTGCTTTCGCAAATTCCAAACACTTCAATGTGATACCTCTTCATCTCGTTTGCAATCTGGGCTGCCTTGCTGGGTTCAAACATGGTGCAGACATTCCATGTCCCCATGTTTACTTTCGCTTTCGTCGAGAGAAGACACATCGGCCAATCGGCTTCCCGAAGGCTTTCACCAACTGGCGTCATTTCGCCTCTCCGATTCCAGCGAGGAATAATTTTGTTATTATTTTTTATATTTTGTTTGTGTTTTGAAGTTTGTTTAGCGGTTAGATTTGTTTTCCGGGGTAGGGTTGCTAGCCGTATGCCCAACCTTCCCTCTTTACCCGGGCTTAGGACCGGCTAGCAACTAGTGAACTAGTTAACCAGGCGAGGTTACCAATTAACAATATGTCAGTAGAAATAACTAATCAAATTGTGTTGAATAACTAGTAACATTTTGAAGTTATGATAATATACGTCATTTAAAACATGGCAATGCGTTTAATTTATAGGATTACAGATGAATATATTGATGTTAAGGCGTCATGTCAGTATCTGTAGAGTGTGTACACGTGTATCATAAGTAGTTGAATTTGACAGGGGTAAAATAACTTTTCTTATGCTGTTATTTATACTTTAAGAGTGAAAAAGCAGTTACTTCTAATGGCGTCATACAGTTACATCGATAAAATCAACATTATACTGTAGGCAAATGGTAGTTATTTGTCTACTTGGAGTGACAGAATTCTGAATAAAACACAGTTAACCAAGACCAAAGTTAACATTTGCATAAATATTCTATTAGAATAAAATAGGTTGAACTAAAGTTCTTCATTCACTCGCTGGATATCATGAATAGGCGAACTATCTAGAGAATTTCAACCTACTTAATGGGTACACTGAACTTATCCAGTGACTAACTTCCATATAGGTATACAGGATGAGTAGGAGTGACCCTTGGTTTCATGATTAGTTTTTCATTTGAAATTCATAGTTGAACGACTTCACTTTTAACCTACAAAGTTGACTGTCAGGTCACTTTCATCGCTGGCGTATATGATACTGATATAATTTGTGGAGAGAGGGTAACATATTCGTTCGTCTGCCTATCATGGTTCTTTTCATATGAAACTTCATGAATATGCAAACGACAATCAGTGAAGTTGTGGCTTATTGATCTAAGCAACTGTTTTTCAACCCAAGGGTTACTAGTTTGAACCTCATTCCACCTACCAATGGTTTGACAGCCTGATAGTAGTATCAATCATTTGTTCTCATACACTAAGTGTGGTTGGTTGCTTACTGGATGAATATATACACAAGGTTACTGAAAGGATTTCAGTTTGATCAGAATAATCACTGCTGCCGTCGCCACTGCCACCGTCATCATCAACTCTTTTCCATATTGCATATGATCGTGACTTTTCTAAATCACGATGAAATCAAAGATTTCTCTGCTGTTCTTTTTGTTGTTGAAAACTCTGATGATCTCTTATAAATTCAAGTAAAATCATCATTCAATACTACACATTTTTATAACACTAGCGCATAGTTTGAATATTTTGGCAAAAATAATACTTTCATTGTGCATTGTTTTCTCACTTGATAATAAGAATAAATTTGAACTACCGTTCCTTTCATTTGTGAATATTTATCAAAAATGAAATACTTGTAAACAAAAAAGCCTTTTTACTTTATATTTCAACAACTAACCTAACCTTAACACTTAATGATCTAATACAATGACTGATGTATCAGTTATATAAGGGTGTAGTTAGTAAATAAGCGATGAGAAGAAACAACGGTTTATACAATGTATACAAAATGCGTACATCTTAGTAAAACGATTTCAGTGATACTATGCATTACTAAAAACAAAAATTATTCAATATGATTAATTGAGTAGGTCATATTTGAGTTTGATATTGTTACTTTGATTGATTTGAATTTCAGCAGGCTGAATAGGAAAAAAAGAGGGCAAAAAGGAGAATGTTGGCATTGCATCCAGTGTACCTTTTAATTGCTTCACGTAGATACAACTAACAACGGTTGTCATTGTATCGGCGATACCGAATTCTACTGTTTGGTATGATGTAGTATGGAAATCAGCTGATCCGTTTACTCTTTATTCAAGTGATATCATGTTTAGTATTGATCACATAGGAGATTCTTTGAACACGCTGCTAATTCATATGAAGTAGTAGACTGATCTAAGTAGCCTTTTAGCCGAAAATCTTCATTAGTAATAGGTTTGTACCGGGAAAAAGCAGATTTTAAACCATCATCTTTCATTAAATCATCAGAAAGTTTTTTGTGTCCACCTAATACACTGTGGGTAAACTGTAATGGATATCCTTGACCGTTTTGTTTTATTTTTAAGCTGAATTATCAAAAATTAGTCTGCATCAACTTCTCTGTCCCCCTGTGCACCGACATTGTCGTGGCAAGAAAAAATATTTCTAGAGGTATATACAAATATATGAATGTAAAATCTAACATACTTGTGCATTGATTCACCTTGTCCTATTTCACACCAGTAGGCAAACAACAAATGGATGGGAAAAAGTGATATTAAAGTAGGAGAAAAATTACGAGATGTGAATGAATACAGAGGTGATGGTGACTACTAGTCAGATCTCACTGACAACTATCGAGGAGTAAAGCGCCTTTCATGTGTCCCGTTTCTAGCTTTAGATGTTTCTTTCATCCTGTTTAGGTTTAAACAGGGTTTGCAAAACATATAAGCAATAGGATAAAAAAGTTACTACTAATCTTAAAAATTCTGAGGCGAGAAAGCAGACGCATGAATGGCACCTAAGCGCTTAGTAACTATCCATTTAATTCAGTAGGAAGTTTAAGAGAAATACGGCTGTCAGCGATAGCATAGATGAAAGTGGTGATAATTACTGTCTGCTAGAATGTGATCAAGTTTTACGCTTTTGTTACTTAGCTTTAGGATATTAGTAGACTGCCTAAAGTCAAACGAAACGCCTTCAGCCACCTTTTGCAGATTCTTGCAGTCACTAATGCGCCACAGCTATTGTGTGAGGGTCAGTGATACTACCTGATTCCCCAAACCTCATCAGATGGAGTGGGGTCTGAACTTGTGACCCAATGGTTGATAGTCGTCTCCCTTAAACCCCTGAACCACCCCCCATAGAGAACTGAGAAATGGTACGCCTCCACTGATTGGCCCCAAACAAAAACGTCCACTCTTATTACTTGCTTTTTATTTCTAATGTGTCACCGTGGTTTCTTTACCATTACACAACCTGTTGGTTTGAACTGTAGTTTCTGTCAGTCAGTCAGAAGTGAACCATTTTTTGCAAGTTGGATTGATAAATCTTGCACTTCTGTTCCAAGAAGTATTGCTCACCTTTTTGGTATAATTCCAACAGACAGCACTATTTACAATAAGTTAACTCATTGTGTTAAAACTCTACTGTACATATATTTGTTTTTAATCCAACCTGCCTTCAGGTTCGACAGAGGATGTTCGCCAAATCGCCGTTGATTGGTTATCAATGATCTACATGCTGACGTATATTCCATTAATATTTCCATCTACATGGATACTTGAAGGATGGGGTCTACGAGTAACTCTACTGGTTGCAACAGCATTGAATGCAGTTGGTGCATGGACAAAGTGTGTTGCTGGCGCTGTCACTTATGAACCAAACTTAGGATTGACTAATGAAGTTATTCCCATAACTCATAAATTTGGTTTCCCAATACTTATGATTGGACAGACTATCTGTGGAATCGCTCAATCAGGCATACTAGGTATACCCGCACATTTAGCTGCAATATGGTTCGGCGAGAATGAAGTTTCGACAGCTACTGCTCTTGGTGTATTCGGTAATCAAGTAGGTCTATGTATTCAAATTTTCTTTTCGTCGTTTGTCATCCTGACCGACCGATTACTACTACCCTCATGTCCCCTTCAGAGTTTAGGTTACTATTTCACACCCACCGACATATCTTACCTATCTAGACAGCTTGGTCGTTAAGGCTTATTTGTCAGCTGAAATTAAGATCTCAAGTTCATGTCTTGTTAACGTAGGTTAATAGAGATATCATGCATTTCTTCAGGAATACCAATTTATATTATTCAGCGGTAAATTGCGTCCTGCATTTTAGCTTATTACAGTTACTGTTCAGCTGTTTGGGATACTGAAGCAGTTCATTTAAGTCACCCCTATCGAATTACCCGGTCAGTTGCCCGTTTAAGGTACAAACATACACCAAAAGAATAACTGATTAGAGCATATTGAATGAGACAAGCCAACACCTATCTCAGCACTAAATATTGTCCAGATTCGAAGTGAAATGAAAGAAACCAATACGTTGAGGTTATAGAAAAATACCAACTGTCCTTAAGGTTATCTTTTGCAGGCGTTGATTATGTGCAAAACTTTGGTCTTTCTTTCTTCGATCCCAAACTCTTTCCCTCTTGTTTATCACCAATGACTCCTTTTCATTTTAATTCACTATGTCTTGTCAGTTTCCGGTTTACTGATGAAACCAATCAAAAGACAAGTAATATGTTCAGAATACCGTGGAAACCTGACTGATATATAGGACTGTTAAAACATCGCCTGGTGATAAACTTCCTGGTGTGTGCTTGGATCACTAAGTGGACAACGTTCATGTAAGTTGGAGAGTTATTAGGATGGAAGGTCGAACAATTGGTAAGATTGTCACTCTATGCCACATGCTAGGTTAACTAGTAGTAAAGCCGATGATGACAAAAAAATATAGCTTCATCTCATGAAGTCACCTACTGCTGGTGTAAGCCGTTGCTTAGCGTTGTGGTTAACTCGTCTCTGGCCCTGAAGGTTTTATGCATGAAATGTGAAAAACTCTAACTGACTGGTGAATGTCTTCTCTCACATTTTGTTATCCTCTCAATTCTGCATAGTGCAATAAGAGGACGGAGGTTATATAAGAAATGTGATGTCTTGGAGCAGTCCATTTCGAACAATTCGATCACACATCCACTTGTCTTGGCATTTTATATAAAGGATGAAAATAGGGTGGGGTAAGATAAATAAAGTTAATACAAGATTTGGAAAATATGGTGAGAATAAGGAGGAATAATACATCTTCACACCTCCCCTTGGCATTAAAATCAGATAAAAATTACCAAGGTAGGTATAAAGTAAGGAAAAATTGTTATTGAATGCACGAAGGGAGTTTGAACTTCTGTATAGCTAAGGCTTCAATGAACCTATGTGTACGGTCTTGACGGCTCCTATAAAATTGTCCAAAGACTGTTTTGGAGTCAATTTAGTCGCCTGTTTCTATAATGTGTTTACCTATCGACGATGACTTCTGTCTGTCCCCTGTATTCATCGGATTATTTGAATTTAATTGTTTTTCCAGCCATTTAGAGATATCCTCTACCACCCTCAACTTCATAGTTCAATTACTCCTCCCAATGTACATGTCACCACGCACACATATTATCTGGTATACACAGCGGGATGTCATCCAATCTTCTATATGGTGTTAAAGCTTATCTTGAAGTGAAGGTTGCATTTTCTCGATAATAATGAGCTTTGTTGCGTGATGTCCTTATAATTACTGAGTTATGTCTCCTTCTCAAGATCATGCTGTTTGATTCCCCCTTATAGGTAGATGTAAAGATCCTCCTTCTGGACAGTATATTGATTAAATCTCACCGTTGAGATGTATTTATCATGACTGATGAACCTCACAGGATATGCGTTTTCCATAAGTGTCTGTATTAGAAATTAGGATTCTTCCAATGTTGATGTTGTGCAGAAACGTTGGGTTCTTTTAAATAACCATTTCATTAAGCATCGTTTGTACTGTATTGGACAGAAACCATGAAAGTTAAGGCATTGTCCGGCCCATGTAGGTTTTCTATACGCTGATCGTTTTATCTACCCATCTTCCAATTTGTCCTCACCTTAAACCTACCTTAGTAGTAGTTATAAATATCCAGACCATAGTTGTTACGAATGTCCTGGAAGAAGTTAAGCATCGAGTCTGGTTGAGCCATTATAAGAATATATTTTAATATAATCCCAGCGTGTTTAGAAAATCAAAACAAGATATTTCTAAACACGCTGGGATTATATTAAAATATATTCTTATAATGACTACCTTGATAATCTTTATCTAATTTTAATACTAATGGGAGGTGTGTAGATGTATTATTCTCTTCCTTACAATCACTATATTTTCCAAATCGTGTATTATCTTAATTTATTTATCTTAACCCCCCCCCCATATTTTCATCCTTCATCTAAAATACCTTGACAAGTTAATGTGTGATCAAATTGTTAGAAATGTACTGCTTGTATACACTACATTTCTCATATTACCTTCGTCTTTTTATCACATTATGCAAATTTACCAAAAGGAATAATTGTTTCAAATTCTCTTAATTCTGTTGACCTAACTTGTGTTTAACTGAAAAAACATGGAGATTTCAACTATGATACGGTTTTACAAGTTACGTATTATTAAATTTAACCTGTTGAATGAAGCAACAGTGCAATCTCTTCGTGACAAACTGATAGCTTGTCGATCATAACTGTCTACTCAAAATGAGAATTAGGTAACTACTGGTTATTAAAAGTTTTCCTTCCAATATATATGCAAATAAAGGTTTGAAATGAAATGCATAAAGCACACTAAAGACCAATGAATATCACTGAAGCGTAAAACAAAATGCAACACCATACAAATCAATCAATCTAATCCTGAGGAGTATATTTGAAACAAAATTGTAAAGTCGCGTACTGTTTGTTAAAACCGTAAATGGCGTGATTAGCGAATAGAGGAATGAAACAATCAGTGGGTAGTTTCAATCATGGATTGATATGAGTCTCAGAATCACTGAAATTCTGGGAGTACTGAATAGATATTTTGTCCTAGCATAGGACTCCTCAGTGGTGTGTATCAGAGACCCAAACTTATATCATTCAGTGGTGAGAACTACTTTAAAGTTAATAAATCACTAAAAACCAATATTTCAGTCTCTTTCCAGGTATGCTTTGGGCTGATTTTCCTAAAGTCTCAATGAAAGGTTATGAATTTTTGGTTCACTCAAGCAGGGGGCCGGGCGGATGCCTATCTGTGAGAAAAGTGGGAATTAGTAGGCCGTTGGATTCCAACTCAGTGAGTGAATCAGAATGCTGTCGCCACGAGACCTGACGGTCCTGGGTTCTACCTCCCTTATGTTTGTAGGTGCTCACTGCTGACGACGAAATAAGTATTTACTGCTTCCAGATTTTCAGTGTTGTTTCAACTGATCCCAGTCTATGATAGAAAAGGCCTTCCTAACGCAAGTCGCAGCTACTTTACCTTTTTGAGCATCTTTTGAGCATTACACTCAACTGCTACAGTGAACACATGGAGATTCTACCCAGAGTAGACAGTACTATGTAAAGATGTGTACTCTAATATTTGTAGTCTGCATCTATACTGTTCTTTAAAATACCATACATGGCAGCCTGAGAATGGAAAAGAGTTGAACTGTTCCATGTAAAACTTGTCAGTTGATAGATATCCTAATATGTAAAGAATATCATGAATGGCTTATTTTGAAAAGTACTGAATACGTTTTAAGTATCCACATAAAGATCATCATGGTAACCTGTTAATAAACATGGAACCTTCAACATACCTAGTCGACTCACTTACTTTCCTTATATTGGATGTTCGTATAGCCTAGTCATGGAGCGAAATAGGTCATATTTGAAAGAAACACATTTTAGGCATTCTAGTTTTCCAAATGAAGCATTCAAAAGACTTTCGTTAAGACTGGACTGTCTCTTAGGACACAGACGATTTTCGGAAAGTAATTAAAACCACTTTTATCAGTAAATAATCGACGATATATATATATATATATATATATATATATATATATATATAATACATGAGTAGTTAGAAAATTAAACACCAGATGGGCGTTTCACTTGCTTTTAATGAAGCTCGTCAGCCGTGTTCCCAGACAGATTTAGCCGACAGAGCCAAATGGTTCAGATTAAATAAAACCTACAGATCAGAGTGAGTAGTTTGTAACTATTCAATTTGTTCCATCAGTAGTACATTTCATTAGTTCATGGCACTTTTGTGTTAGACATCATGCATTGTGATCTTGACTGCGGGGTGGTTTCCAACGGAAAACCTGTTGATAATACAGTTGGGTAGTTGAAAAACTACGCGAATGCAAGAAATTTCAAGGCGGAGTGTGCAATTTATAAATCATTTGTAGATTGTTCTTGCTATTTTGTTAATACTATTTCTATTGTTCATTCAATGATAGCATTAACACCTCATTTCACTATACTTCTTTTTGTGAATGATACTTAGTCCAGTAGTTAGCAGATGTGTAACCTTGTATATGCATATTAAGACAATACAGAATACTATCTCTGATTTATGACTTACTTTAAAAAAATTATTCACTGGATAAATAATTCATATTTTTACACGATTTTCGTGTGTTTTTTACGCCACAGATTTAAGTCTGGAAAAGGTTAGTGCAAACGAGTCAACTAAAATGCAAAGACAACCGTATATGTTTCTCCGAAATGTGTTGATAATATTGGTAGTAATAGAAATAGTTTAAGGATAACCATTTAACAAGAAAAATATGTCTAATTAACGGAGTATACTACTTGATGATGTAAGTAGTATGACGAGTGAGTAAAGTCTAAATGGAGTCTTTTTTCTATGCTTGTGTTGATTGATTCAACCATTTTATCACGAATAAAACAATATTTCACGTTTAGAGTCCTATGAAATGCGATTTCCTGACTGTACAACCTGTCAAAGGAGATTATGGCGTTTTTACATGCATTGTATACACTTGCTAAAATCTTTC